AGCACCATCAAAGAATGAGTTTTTGGCTTCAATAACATTATGAACTTAGAGCAAAATCTTCCCATGTGCCCGCGTTGCGCTACATGCGTTTCGTCACGAATTCTCTTGACAGCTACTCATCTGTACCCATCATGCATTTGTAGCCCATGTTTTTTTCCGAGGAAATTCGTTATCAAAAAATTATCTTCCCATGTCACAACAACTTAGTGCATGTTATGTTACCTTTGTAATCTCTGGGTGAACGGTGATCTCTTCCAAAGGAATTATTTTTTCATTTGAAGGTATGTAATATGATTTCCTGGAGTAGAATCGAATGCCATCAACAAGCTTCATAACGCTTCAATGACCTAATCTTGATGTCATTTCCATACAGTCTTAGGTGTAGGGACATTTCAGGTTTCAACAGCATCTCCTAGATGAAAGAAATATGATGGCATCACCCCGTAAGTTTCATCTCTTCAACTGCGACCGTCTCTGTAAGCTCGACCCCATCGAAGACTTCTTGTTGACAACGACAGAGACACTCGGCATTAAGATATCTGTGAAGCAACACTATTTCTCGCTTTCCGAAATATCTGAGTTCAGCGATCAAACGATTCCCACCCTGGAGATGGATGCTGCCGTCTTAGCTGTACATGCAAACGAATCTCGTCTTTCCATCAACGAAGACACACAAGGGGGATACACGAAAGTTTACAGAGCTTTGCTTCAGGCGACAGGTATAGCGAAACCGGAAGTTGATTACGTCAGGTGTTATTGGAATCTTTATTTTAAAAAGTATTCGTCAAGTCGTAATATTGTAGTTTCTGCGAAATGAACTCATTTGTGTTTTTTTCTATTGTTATATATATCATATATTTTCAGTTTCCGCTTCGTTCTTTACCTTTGGGATATTTACAGTGATTTGAATATAAATTTCTCTGTTTTGAAATTTAAACGGTCTCCTGCCACGAGATTTATGTTACTAGGAAAAACAGCGTTAACTTCAATCTTCCCTTACCGTTTTTCCCTTATGCTATATTTAGATAATTTTGTCTACACCATGTATTTGACAGGTTTCGCTTTTGTCTCAATCCAAACACTGCGGTATATATATAGTAAACATAAATGTATGGTATTTTGAATGTAGAATTCAAAAATACGTTTTGAAAGCTGTGATGAAAATTTGGAGGCTGTGACGCTGTCCGTCGGTTACAATACATGAGATTTTGACAATTAAAATATTGACGGATTTAATGTACAAACAGCAGTTTTGTCGTATCAGATTTTATGAAATTTGTTCAAAATGCGAAGTCATTTGATCTTCGATATTAATGATTCCTGCCTCTTGTCTATGGTTTGCGATTCACTAACAACTATTTCCATATTCATGATTCATATTCTAGCAAAACCTCGTCATTTATGATTCTTGAGATTTAAACACGAGAATTCGCGATTCTCTATTATTTTATCGTGATAATCTCTGATTTCGCTTCCGACCCTATAGATTTTTTTAAAATAACACGGCCGAGTTGAAACAGTAGCGTGACCTCGAGTGTCACGTTTCTGTCATACAATTATGTGTTTTCAATTTTTTTTGTTCTTGCCAAGCAGAAGGAAACGTAATTGTTGTTGTCGGTGGTGATAACAATTACAGCAACGAAGAGGAAAAGAAGAAAGCTGTTGCCTCGCGGTGGGCGCGAAGGAAGATACGTTCGCAGCTAAAAGAGGAATTTCTCGACGGACGAAAAAGTTTCCTCTTTACATGGGACAGAAAACACAGAGCAATTCACGAGCAAGCACTGAAACATTACTTTGATCTTAACAAGAAAGGACAAAAGTTCGAGTATGAACCATCAGAGCGGCCTGAGCTTTCTTTAAAAGACCCAACGGCTCCGCTAGCAAGAGTAACAGAACCTGCGCATCAGCCTAGGCTTCAACGCTCCGCTACCCTCCCGGAAGGGAAAAGTAAACGAGAAATAGAAGAGAGGCGGGATCTGTCAAGTTCCTCGAAAAAAGATCACGCAGTGACCAGGCAAAGAAGTGTGGATTTTCACACTAATCAGCAACCTAAACTACAGCTTGATCCCCTTTCTGCAACAGCTGTTTCGACTTCAGAATACGGATGCTCATCACTTAAGATCAGATCGGAACAACACAGAGCGCAAATCGATACTGCGATGAAGGAAACATGTCTGATAGAAGGTGAGAACTTATACGACCGAGTACGTTTAAAAAAATATGAACGAAAAGCATGATCAAGACAATTACAATAGCCACAAAAACGAGTAATGAATACCAGAACAATGATAATGTTAATGACGTTGTCAAAAGAAACAACAAGGAAAACAACAACACTAGCACCACAAGATAGTGGAAATATCGACAACCACAGCAACAACGTACTGGTTATGAAGATGGCGACGTCAATAATTGCATTTAAAGTTATCCTAGTGATAAGTATCAGATATCAAAAACAAGGACTGCTAGCATTCTTTAAAACATTAACAAAAATAGAGCTCTGAGATAGTGATAGCAATTTCTTAGATATTTCCAAGAGATTTCTAAAATTTTTTCTTTTTAATTCTTGACCCTTCCAATAAAATCTGCACCGTAGCACCAACAGATGTGGCTGCAGATTCTGGGAGGAAACTGCTGGACAACAAACCGCAACAGCCGTCAGTGCGAACAGATACGGCTATGGAAAAGGAACGTCAAGTAATAGGTAAGAACAACGAGTGACGTCCAGAAAAAAGACAGCTGGCACCGATAAAAAAACAAAAAAACAATAAGAACAACAAAAAGCCACCGCTATGAGAGCAATATGAACCATTGCAACAGAAGCAAAACAAGTCCCGGAGACGCTGTTTCATTCGTGTGTCATTGTCATTTTATGACGATTTATAAAATTTTCAGTCATTTTTTTTAATCCTGACTCAATGGAAGCTTTTTATGTGAACGTCAGATATTTTTATTTAGAATATGGTAGGTTAATCTGAGCTGTACATGAAGGGTTAGGGCAAGTGCACTTTCAGTAAAGTGCGAAAAACAGAGTGATTTGTGTAGGCGAGTATTTAAAGTTGAGATTGTGTAGACAAGACCGATTAGTCCTTTATAAAAAAGTGTTTAAATGGTTTTAGCTTGTGCAAAACGAGGTTATAATTATTCTTTGCTTCAATTCCCTAGAATTAGCGGTCCTTGGCTGTGATGCGTCTCTGGATACAATGCAGGTTGTGAAATCAGTCATCAAAGACCTTCAGCTCAAGATAAACCTGCCAAAATATCCCCTAGTGGAAAATTATTCACTAGATTATATCAAATCGTACTTGACGAGAAACACTCTCTGTTTTTGTGTTCTTGTGGTGGATAAAGAAGCGCTTAATACAATCCAGAGGCATGAGTTGGAAGACGTTCTCTGGACAGCAGCTGATGTTGTCGGTAAGAGGGATTAATGCTAATGCAAGATAGTAAAACTATATCTATTTTGCACAATGCCCTTTTACAAAGGCCTGTAGATAAAAATCCGAAGAAACATGTATTTCTAATTAAAATATTTTAATATAGCAAGTTCTCAGTTTTAGGTGGATGAAATAAATGATTTGAGAACATCTTACAATAAGGTAAAAAGGCCAATCGACATCTCTTTATCTGCTGTTGAAAAGTTATTTTTAAATTTGCAACTCAGTATGATTCCTGCCTAAAATGTGTCCCTATATCTGAATGAAAACAAAAAAAGAAGCTTACAAATCACAGTATCTACGCATAGGCCATACATTATAGCCGATGAAATGTAATTTCTTCGTGCGATTGACAAGAATATTTTAATACGATATAACTGTTTGCTACAATTTGCAGTTGAAAAGGTTATCTTTACGATTTGCGATCGATGTCCTGCTCTCAAAGGAGGGGAAGAGACATTCGTACACAACATTCAACTAATGCTTAAAGAGAAAAGAAAGGGCCTTATCGTGTGGTTGGAGGATGGAAAACTGAACGTGGAACCCGATGTCTTGATACAATTAATGCTTGGAGCTCCAATAGTGGCGAAGAACAGACAGGGACAGATAAGCCACTCAGGAGAGTTATCCAGACCAACCAATGCTGTCTCAGGTTTTTCATCCGACGGGAGACTGGTTCAAGGAACGCAAAAGCATACAGGGAGTTTGCCATCACTGCAAATGTACCACACAATAAGACCCGATACACGTTCAACAGCAGCCAATAACTATGGAGAAGGGGGCATGAATTCCAGCCATGTTCTTGTACTCAAAACACGAATCCATTATGGGATAGTATCATATGCTTCCAAGGATCTTGAGTTTCGTTGTCCTGATTGGGTAATTCCCGAACAAATAGAAGAAAGCTTGAGGTGTAAGTATTCAACGACAGCAAACGGAGTGTTGAGCATCTATTATAACAAGGAGGGCCAATTACAGTCTACCGTACAAACTGATAGAGCGGCCTTTTGTTTGATTATTTAATGAACAGATCAATACGGCCTCTACACCAGACTCTCACAAAGTGAATATATGATAGAGGCTTGTTCTCTTATTGGTAGTTCATAGATGCGATAGTCATAATCACGTTGCATTACAACCTCTCTCCGATTCGAGATCTTTTAATTTTATCTTCTCGAGAAATAATAGCAATCTATGAGTTAGATGGAATTTAACACCAAGAAATTCTATACTCTACGTGTCTCACCTATAAGCGCGAACCACCCCTCGCAAAATTTTTATTCTGTGGGAAAATTTTTGAGAGCGTAAACTCCCATCCGTACTAAGGAATTGAAATAGATAATAAACTTAGACGGAAGGAACATATAAATCATATAATACCGCGAACATGATGTTTTAGGCTTAGGAGAAATTTCTGGTTGTGTGCGGAGAGCATCAAAACGACGTCATATGTTACCTTGGTCCGGCCTAAGCTCGAGTACACGTCTGTTGGTCGTTACCAACATTTAAATGCGACATTGTCGAACTGGAAAGAGTGCAAAGAGCAGCAGCCCATTTTTATACAAGCGATTATGACTGGTTGTCATGCGCACGTACATGCTAGAAAAACTAGTCAGAACTGCACCCTTTGCTTGGTTGACATTGAGTTAAAGGGCTTTTTAAATTTTTAATAATAAGACTCTTAACGGGGACAGTCAAAGCCTTAAGCTTCTTGACTGAACCTCACTGTAAGAGAGACGTGTTCAATTTTTTTTTCCCAAGAACTGCCGGAGACTAGAAGTATCTCCTACCTGATATGCTTGATGTTACGTCACTTGACAAATTTGAAAATTGGCGTAGTTCATTAGCGTGATAAGAGCGCGTCAATGTGCAGTTAGTTTTAAGTTCTGTCTTGTACTTATTATAGAATATAATTTTACTTTTACACTTAGAAGTAGTTGGTGTTTTGCCTAAACGGCTTTTAACGACCTAATTGAGATGATCATGATGGTGATCTTAAAATTACTATGTGATTCTGTAAAAACCCATAAATATATTTAATCCTCTTTAAAACAGAGCCAGTCAAATATGACTTTTATTATATTGTTACCTTTAGTCTCTGACCTTTATAACTTCGTTAGCGTTTAGAAATCTTAAACTGGGGGTTTAAAAACATAAATTCCTTGCTAGATTCAAGCAGTGTTTTTCTATTAGTTTTCTTCCACTTGTGACATTATTCCAAAATCAAATATGAAACAGCAGATATCTAAGAAAGGTTGTGCGATAACGTTCGATCTCCTCAGAATCATTAGCATTAAAAGCCATTAAAATATAAAAAAGAAAATGCGACTTTAGTAAAAGTGGCGAGCAGCTAGAACTCAAGGAAGAAGTGACTTGTAGGCGAAATAGGTTGGACGTCAAAAAATAGGTTTTTGGGTACAGCCATTGATACAAGCTATTATGGAAGCCAAGTCACCTTTGTCCAACAGTTACGAGATTTTCTCCTCCAACTTGAGCTCAATGACAGCACTATGTAAATAATGTCTTTATGGCTGTTTTCACTAGGCCGATTAACTAGCTGAACATTCTTTCTAGGTGTTTGTTTACAGACCGACATTAGCTAGTTAAATATGAAATCTGTTTTTACTGGGAAATTTTAAGCCTCTAATAACTCGGAAGATTCAAATTACAAATCCGCACAACTTTCAAAACTGGCGGGAGAGGAAGCGCTTTTAATGAGTTCACTAGTACTGATTCTCGCTATATTTTTGCGAACGAGAAGGAGTTTCGTTCAGATGATGCGATTAATGTCTCGGCAGATGCAGATGATGCGACGGAATGTTGTAATCCTGGCAATTCAACGCAAAAACAACATACATGGCCGTAAGCGCAAGACCATGTGGGTCTATCCAAGGCCGCAGTTTTGGAATTGAAAAACGGTGAAACAATTGGGAAGTGTTTTGCAATTGGTCAGCCAAGGTTTTGTTCCGAAAAAATCACGAGGCGAGCGTCTGGAATATAATTTTGCCAGATTGTTTGGCAGGCATCTGTCACTAAACGCGATGCGATTGGCTGCGGTATTTGTCGGGACAAGTTAAACCATCTTGCGAGGTAGTATAACTCGGACTTTTCTGACTTTATTTAGCTAAAATTGTCCTAGTGAAAACACAACCTATAACAATAAGTGTTTCCGAAAGCTTTCAAGCCCCGGACTTAGTGAACTTTGCCATGCATCGAAAACGCAGTTTGGGTTATCTATTTTTTTGACCAGAGTGGCCGACGTTTTGGCTCGAAAACAAATATATATGATTACTACAGGGTCCCCTATGAAAATTTGTTGGAAAACAAAGCCGCTTTTGAGGCTCAGAGTATTGTGCAACATCCCTGCAAAAGCGGTCCAAACCAGTTTCGGATTATAATCGTGGTTAGTTGGTTCTGGCGAACTACAAACTTCACTCTAAGGTTGTTTTCTGCTGCGTGAATACTTCTCAGATGGTCCCTGTAGCCTTCTGGTACCTGCCATCCGTTCTCTCTATGCACCACATCCTTCGCGTCGTCTGAGACTTCTCCGTAGCGAAGTCGAGTATCTAGAAGCACTGAACCTTCAGGGTAATTAAAAAGCCTCCCTGGTAGAGAAAGAACAAGAACACACGACAAAAGTGAAATCACATAGTAGAATCTTAGTACGAAATTATCTTGTATGTCTAGGTCTGGTATTCTAGTAAAAGTGACGGAGGGGGGGAAGGTGGGAGCTATATCGGCGCCCTAACTGCATTTCGGAGCATGTTAGGATGAAATGTTACTTTTAGTAATTAAATATTTTTGAAAGGGAGCGAGGTCGCGCGCATTGTAAGTAGGATTCCTCTTTCTCAAATGTGCCCTTTAGTTACACCAGACCACAAGGTGTCAACTATGAGACGGATAATTATTTCTTTTGGATCAGGGAATAAACCTATTTGGTTTGAACTTTCTATGCTCGGAAAACTAATTGGGTCAAAATGAATTGATTTTATCTGGCCCTGGTAATAAGGGAGCGTTTGAGGACATGGACAGGTGTTCCCTCAACGGAATTAATTATTAACGAACAATAGGCAAACTTTGATTGACACTTAGGAACAATTTACACTTTGAATGGTTTTAGTTTCCTGTCTAGTCATTGCACGTTTAGGAAAAATGTGAATCAGCCGCTTACCAGATACAGGAGTTTAAGTTCGCCGAGTTCGGTAATTCAAGCCGCAGTTTCAGTTCAGTAGTTCATAGTTTATGGAAACCCGCCACAGAAGTAGGTTTGATTTGAGTTTTCTACGGTAATTCTTTATTCATTTGTTAGGGATCTCAACGTAGGTGAATACCACAAATAACTGTTGGGAAATTTGTTGATTTCAGATCGAATATTTATATCAATAAACCGTTGATTATCCGATATACGGTTGTTTCCGTAAACTTCTAAAGTTGTCGACTCGTCAGTGGTCCAACAGGGCATATCAAAAGAACTTTAAAGTGCTACTGAAACGTAATTTTCATATCCGAGATTTTTGCAATATAATAGAGTTTGAACGTTATTTGCAAACGCTGTGTACTTTTTTGGGCCAACGCATAGCGGAAAGTACATTTTCAACCATTCGAAGTTGACCGGCTGAGATCAAAATTGGCGACCATCTTGGCGCGGCCAAAACAGCCCTGTGACGTCACTGGTTGTGTACTTCTGTGAAAGACGGGTAAAAGCATGGAGTGTGGCTTGCATGTTGGGAAGCCGAAAAAGAGGCTTTCGGGCAAAATGCCATCCTCTTCTTCTTCATCGGCGGCCACATCGGCATCTTGGCTATCTGCGAGAGGTTCGCCTGGATAGGGAGCAAAATTCCCGACTGATACCGAGAACGAATCTCTACCAGTCTATTTAGTTAATCGGCAACTGACGAGATCCACAAGATTAGGATCGAAACCGCGGTCTTGCCTGACCATCTACAGAAAATGTCCAAAGACATTATAATGGCAGATGGGCTACTAAACGCCCCGGGCCAAAGCAATGCCATTCAGAGAGTGAAGTAAACATGGAAGCCTCATACGACACCGCCACTGAAGATGATCTACTTGGCAAGTCTGAGAATAACGAACAAATCCCTCTGTACCAAATGCCTAGCAGAACATGCCCAGAATCCCTACAATATAGGGCGAGGGCCAAAATAAGAGCAGACGAGGATTTCAAAAATGAGATAAAGAAAAAACAGTAAAGGCGATCATGTGCTTCTATGAACGTGAAATCGGTCGTTTTCATACCGAAATAAAGAAAAGAAAACGAGCCAAAACGGCTGGAACACTGAACACTAAGAACTGTAGTACGATGGAATCAGCGCGCGTGGCGCAAGCTGAAAGCAATCAAGACAACTTAACGATCGAGACAGTCAAAAAAATAGCTGTACATCTACAAAGGCGAACGATTCGAAAAAGACGCAATCCCTAATGTGCGTACTCAGTGCCACACATAAAGCAAATTCTCATGAAAAACTGGCATTTAATAGAAACAAAACCACTACTGAGCGAACTATACAAAAGTCCGTCGCTCGTATCTTACAAAAGAGGGCGGTCGCTCAAAGACATCATGACTCGTGAGGGCTAAACTTTGAATAGGCTACTCTAAACACACGCCGGGGAGTCGTATAGGCCTGTCAACCCCATTTTACGCCAGCATCTTCCTCTTCGCTACTGGAGACAACCTCGCTTCGTTCAGAAGAAGGTTCACTTGAAAAAACTTCAATATCTGCCATCTCCTTCGCCCACGAATACAAACAAACAGCGAGTGAAATAAACCACGCTATCGGAGTGAACACAACCAGTGACGTCATCAATCCATTTCGCTCGGTACCAGAGCCCGGACATGGTTTAGTGTAAAATTTTGATTTGAATGGTTAAAAAAGATATCTTTCGCTTCTTTTTGGCCAAAGCAAACTATCTCATGATGATCAGCATATTCAAAACCACAGGTTAGAGCGAAAATCTCAGATACGAAAATTTCGTTTCAGTAGCACTTTAAGATTAACTCAATGTAGCCTCACCTGCCGGAATCTGATCACGAGGACCCACAACAATTATTACTTCCTCCATGCCCTTGTTGTACGATGCTTCAAATTCATTTACATGCTCGACCTATTTTTTCAAAGTAATATTTTCAATTAAACGTTTCAACATTACAATTTTTCCTCGCCCGTTTTGCAACGAATGCCATTGGTCGTATAACATGTGCCCACAGATTTATATTGTATACTGATTTTTCCAAAAATGATGAAGTATCTCTATTGGTAAATAGGAAATAAGAGTTTTATTGTATCTGTCCCTCTTTGAATCGTTTTACGGACCTTAAGAAACGACGACGGCGATGGCAACGAGGACGTGGAAAACAAGAGATCTAATTGGCAGACCAATAGCTCAGCACGTGCGTTTTGAAACTTTGTACATTTCTTAGCCGTCCTATGCAAAACAACAACGTTAAATCGCCAAAATTTGCGTCGTCTGTGAACCGAAACCGCGACGGCAAATTATTTTAACTTCCATTTGGAACTCAACGGTTACTTTATACGTCATGCTGAAGTTGAGCCGTGGCGCTGTATGAGACAGTAAGCTCCTGCAGCCTTTTTTTAAATTCTAACTAAGAGTATAAATTCATTTTTTAATCGAAGTCTTCCTTGGCGTCGCCTTCGTGGTTTCTTAAGGTCCCTTTTATTTGCGGTTGCGTTTAGGGCTGCCAATTCAAACAAACAGTTAAGCAACATCAATGTAGAGAGAATCAGCAACGATAGCAAAGTAGAATTGTCAGCTACGTCACCACCAACGCAATCTTGATTTAACTATAGACCACTTTCATAAATGGTTGCCTTATAAATATTTTTTTGTTTAAATTTAAATTAGCCCTACTGGCCTCGCTTGAGATAATGTAATCTTTTGAATTTTTTTGCTGGAGAACGAGGCCAGTAGGGCTAATTGAAATTTAAACAAAAGAATATTAATCCGACGGCCATTTATGAAAGTGGTCTATGGGGATTCCGTGTTGTACTTAAACTGTACAAAAACATAATGAAAGTTTAACATGTACTCACTTCATCTGTTGGATACAGTGAGATATTTTCTGGACTGTTGGACGGCGTCGAAGGTGTAATCTCTGGTTGGGGATTTAGCCCCTGATCCTTTTCCTCAGCTGTTGCGTTAGTAGTGACGGCTGGTGGACTCATTTCTGGCAGATGGTAATCAAACCTTTCTCCCCTCTTGCTTGGATTAAAAAAGTGTAGAAGAGCCTTCTCGTGAACCTCTCGGTGACTTTTGTGCCATGAAAAAACGAAACTTTTGCGTCCGTCAAGGTATTCCTCCTCGAATTGTGACGAAACTTTTTTCCGAGCCCAACGTGACATAACAGCTTTTTTTTCCTCTTCTTTCCCCACATAGTTGTCGTCACCACCTATAATTATCATAACTTTTTCGCCTATTGATAACAAACAGTTTTAAAATTAGAATATGAATACACAGAGGAAACCGAAACAGTATTAGTAAGAGTAAGTAAGCGAAAAAATTTCATTTCAAAACTGTTTTGCCACGGATTCTAAATATTGTATTGAAATTTCCTCAGGTTTATAACTTGCCTTATTACTGGATTTCATAATTTTACCTTGATGACTTTTTATACAATTTGAATACGTATGAGCAAAAATATCCTTTTTTCGTAGTTTCCCACCGGATAACCCTAAATTCACCTGAATTTAACGTATTATTTGGGAAATGAAATCAACGGATTTCGTTACTTCCCATTTTTGCAGGAGAAATATTATTTAAAACTGTGTTTCTAAGATCATAACGTATACTTATCCAGAAAATTGGGTCAGTTTTAAGGGCGGACAAAACTCATTCCTGTACAGTAAAACCCCGCTAACTCGAACTCCTCGCAAGGCAAACCCAAAAATGGTTAAATTTATGGGTACATATAGGTTCCATATTAAACAACAGCGTTTACACGTCCGTCTAAATAATCCTTATTACTCTAAATAACGTATGACTCACCAGTCGCTTTCAGCAAAGCTTTGTAGATCTTCGCGTAGCCTATGCCAGCGTTGTCTTCGTTGATAGACAGTCGAGATTCATTGGCATGAACGACAAAAATTGCAAAATCCATCTGCAGAGAGGGTACTATACTGTCACTCAGATGGGACATCTCGGAAAGTTTGAAGCAATGCTGCTTGATCGATATTTCGAATTCAAGTTTACCTCTCATTGTAGCCAAGAGTGCTTCTACTGAATCCAGCTTGAAAGTATTGTCGCAATTAAAAAGGTAAACGGTCTTACGGTTTGGAACTTGTATCTCCATATTCTATGAACCTGGAAATAAGGAAGTATCCACTAATAAATAAAATAGTTATCCATGCCGAGAGAGTATCAACTGTTTATTTTCTCTTGTTCGTGAGGAATGGTTTTGTTAGTTTCGGTTTCGCAGAATACAACCATAACTCATTGCGGCCTAGTCACAAGCAGTCAGATGTAATGTAATTTTCATCTATTTAAGGAAATGAGAAACTTAGTAGATACACCGTTGAAATGAAATACAGACACTTGTCATCGACACAAATTTTGCAATACAACTTAAGGGGATATAAGGTCACGCCTTGGCGGAAATATTTGCATGAGTAATTTTTGTCCTTCCTAATAGTATTGCTGTTTACATCCTCTTCCCAAATTTCAATGGATCGTTCGCGTCCCGACATTTTGTCAATGTTATCAGTGAAAAGACTAGTTTTGCATAGTCCGCAAGTGCATTTGAAAGTTCCGGGTTGGTCATTAGTTTGTAATGAACTTCGGACCAAAAACTTGCTCATTTTTTTGTCGCGTTTAAATGAAATAAGTGGTGGTTGCGAAAAGATAGTACCAGTCTTCTGAAAAGATAGTACCAGTCTCTGAATCATTTTGAAGTAAAGGAATCTATTTGAGAGTGATGGATTTAACTGCGTGGTTGTGAGGGTGAAAAGTGAGAGTAAATGGAATGCATTTAGTATTTTCTTCCGTGACGTTTTTAAGGTGGCTCGTACCGGTTTTCATCTATTTGATGGTTTGTAACTTCGAAAGAACACAACAGAAAGACTGACCAAGGCCAGTTGAACACTTTTACGGGGTTGAATTATATAATCATTGGTCATCCAAAAATAGGTCTCATTTCGTCACTAGCAGTTTCCATGGCAACGTTTTCATAGGCTTATTCAGACGCATTTTGTAGCTTGTGGCTTAAATGATTCGAAAACTAACCAGGTGACCCTGTGACTTTTTTCAGTGATTGCTTTTGGCACTTGAAAA